GGATGGTGAGACGGTGTCTGCAGCAGTGGGCTTGAGTGTGTTAGATCATGACGATGGCACAGGATCAGACAATCTTCAGATCCTTTGGTCGTAGGGTCACTATGAGGCATGCTTGACTAACAACAACAGCAACACAAGTTTCCTGAGAGGAGTGCTTTTCGGAAGTGAGGCACTGAGACTGTTCTCACATTCTTTCAACACGTTAGCAGAAAGGCCACATCCTTGGAGAAGGACACCACGCTTGGTAAATGGAGGGTCAGCATAAAAAGAGGACGACCCTCAAGGAGGACCGACAGAGAGGTCTCCACAATGGGCTCGAACCAGGGAGGAGGGCGCGGCAGCAGGCAGCCTTTCCCTCTGGTGTTCCTGGGGTCCATGCGTCAGAACTGAGCAACGGCCGCTCCTCATCAAGGAGCCCTGGTGGTCGAGTGCTCGGCTACTAACTGAGAGGAGAGTAGTCTGAGCCCACCAGATGTTCTGCAGGAGAAGAATGAGGCTGTCTGCTTCTCTGGGGCTGTTCCGTCTCTCCTACGGAGTTGCTTTGGTTTGGAACGGACTGGATAGTAACAGATTTGAATGCTTCTTCATGTGCATGGAAATATTCCACTTAGCATTATTAAAAAGCTGCATTTCTCTATCCATCTGTGTGTAGCTCCGGTATATTCACACAATGGAATACTACACTGCACTGAAAAACAAGGAATTCATGCGATATTATTCAAAATGGGTGACCCTGGAGGACATTATGCTGAGTAAAGTATCTCAGAAACAAAATAACAAATTACCGCATAGTGCCACTGTTGTAGAATGGGTCTGACATCAGGGCTGGGGTAAGACTGAGAAAAACTGGATAATTATTTATACAGCATTGAAACAGATGAGGGAGAGAACAGTTTAAAAGCTATATATGATAGGGTATTATGGTTATGACAAGAGTCCAGAATGAAGGTTGCATAGTGGAGTGTACTCGGGAAGAGGAGGGGGACTGTATACCAATGAAAGAATTTTTCTTTTACTTTTCAGAGAGAGGAGTGAACTGTGGGGGAGGGGAGGGCAGGGAGAAAAATACAACAATGAATGATTGGAAATCCAAAATCTCTGTAAACTTTCATTAAAATTAATTTTTTAAAAAGCAGCACTTACCTTTAAAGAAATACATGCAAGTTGACGTTTTAAAAATAAACTAATTTGCTATGAGTTGCAAGCAACTCAACGGCATACAACAACAACAACAATTTAATATAAGGAGCAGTTGGTGTGGTGAAGAAAGGAAATGAGGATAGGAGGAGAGAAGGAGGGAGCGAAGTTGTTTTCCAGCCTCAGAGCATCAGACTTTGCCTTCGTGGGGCTTCTCCTTGGGAAACGGAGCTCTTGGGAGACCAGGAAGGAAGTGCTGAGGCAGCTCATGGCGAGACTGTGTGGTGGAGGGAGGTCCAGTGGCCAGAGCGCAGGTCTCTAACACGCTTGTGAAGCACAACCTCAACAAGCCCTTGGCCCCCAGCACAGTCGTAGTGTATTCAGACCCTTCGTGCATTACGTCCCCTAAAGGTGGGAGCACAGCCCTGCCTGGTTTTCACACCCAGAATTCTCAGCTTCATGAGTGCAAAATGCATGGAAGAAAAGAGGCCTCCCTGGGGCAGCTGTTCCCATTACCATGACGGCTGTGACAAGGGAAGATCGGCTGTTGCTTTAGGTGTTGCCAAGTACAACTCAGAGCGACCTCACAAACAGCAGATCTGAGCCCTGACCTGTCCTGTGCCATCTCATCCTCTCTGAAACTCTTGAGCCCATTGCTACAGTCACTGCGGCAAACCATCTGATCAAGTGTGTCCCTGACTTTCACTGACCCTCCACCTTTCCAAGGAAGACGTCTCTTCCCAAGGAAAGGCAACATGTCCTAGCAACATGTCCAAAGAATGTGAGACAAAGCTTTGCCATCCTGTCTCCAAGGAGCACTCTGGCTGCACCTTCTCCAAGACAGCTGTTTGTTCTATGGGATATTCAGTGCTCTTCTCCAGCCCCGCAACTCAAAGGCCTCAATGCTTCTTCTATCATCCTTAGTCATTGTCCAGTTCTCAAATGCACAGCAAGTGATTGGAAAGGATCAATAACCACCCCAAAAAGTACCTTCACATCTTCTTTACATTGACATTGATGAAAAATCAGAAAATAACAGCAAGAAGATAAAATAAGACCATTCTCTCTGTATTCTCAAGATGTCAATCCTAAGAAGCCTTGTTGTTGTTGTTATGTGCCGTCGAGTCATTTGCGACTCATAGCGACCCTATGTACAACAGCCCTAAACCCTGCTCTATCCTGTGCCAATCTCATTGCCTCCGACACACCCATCCCGATTACCCCAGTCACTGAATCAATCCACCTCATAGAGGGTCTTCCCCTCCTGTGCTGTCCCTCCACCCTGCCCAGCATGATGTCCCTCTCCAAGGACCGGTCTCTCCTTATGACACAGCCTTCAGATGGTTAGCTGTGCTTCCCTACAACTTCAACTATGTGCTCATTTCTCCTCAGAAACCATGGAGGCCAGAGGGTCCTGAGATGATCTATTCAAAGAGATGAAAGGAGAAAAATAATCTTTCAACCAAGAATTCTGTATCTGACAAAATTGATCCTAAAAAACAAGGTTGAAATAAGACATTCCCAGATAAGCTAAAGCTGAGGGAGTACAGACAAGAACTGCCTTACACAAAATTGGTAAAGGGAGCTCTTTAAATGGGAAAATAGGACAATAGGTAACAGCCAGTGAGATCTAGTAGCTTAATGGTAAAAAGCAGCACTGCCAACCCAAAGGCTGGCAGTTCGAATCCACCAGCTGTTCTGCAGGAGAAAAAAAGACAATCTCCTCCTGTGCAATTTACTGCCTCTAAACACCTGTTAGGTCAACTTTGAGTCAGTTCTGACTCAATAATACACAACAACAACAAAAGATAGCAATGACTCCCAGTTCTACGAAGAAATAATGATGGAGAGACATTCAAGGAGAAATAATGTACTCCTCGAAGGTCATAAAAGAGAATGGGAGAAGGATGGGCAATCTCCTCCCATGCGATTAACTGTCCCTCAAAACCCCCCAGAGGGTCAGCTATGGATCAATTCTGACTCAACGGTACACAAATCACAGGTTATGAAAGAGATACTGTGGTGAGGGCTCGAACTCAGCGGTGAGAAAGCTTCTTCAGCCCCCAAAATGGCCATTTGCTGGGTGAGATGGGGTGAGAGGAGGAGCTGGCTTTTGGGACACAGGACATGGCACAAACAGAACAGGACACTGATCACAAGGGAAATAGGGGGGACATAAAGTTGGGATGCTGTCTGAAGAGTGAAATCATACAAGGATGAAACACGGGCAGGCTGGGAGGAGAGGACATAAAGAGAGCCCACATGCACTGCTTTGCACACCATGCCAGGAGGCTGTGTGGACAGAAATGTTCACTAGCAGTCATTCTGACTCCTGGATCGCATAACTTTCACAATCAATAAACCTGTATTATATATGCTGACTGCAAGCTTAGCTTAAAAGGTGGCTTCTCTAGCCATTACATTGGCCCTCTCTGGTCTCCAGCTTCCTTAACTGCAGACATATGGTCTTGCAAATCATCAACAGCTGTGGGACTAAGATAAGGGGGGGGGGGGGAGAGAGAGTGAGTTTCCCACACTGGGTGCCAAGATTTGAGGGAAACTGGAGCAAGATTCTGGTCAGAGCCAGACCAAAGCCAGAACCAGACCAGAGTGAGAGCCTAGTGAGAGTGAAATGCTCGCAATGATGGTTGTGGAGAGATTGTGGCATTGCTGTGGAGAGACCCCAGCAAAGTATTACCTGAGGCTTCCTGCATTTGTGCTGGCCCCAATTAACAGTTTTGTTTGCCAGATGATTGAAGGAGAAGCTGACTTACAACCGCTCTGAGGCAAATCTTGCTGGTAGATTGAGAAAACCAGGGGCTTCTTGAATTTGTGTTACTGAGCTGAAACCAGGAATTTTACTAATTAAGGAATTATGTTTTGCTGTTAATCTGGCTCGGGACTGCCAGATTAAACCTGGATTTAAGCTGTGAAATTCTTTGCCTCTCCCACTCCCCAACCTATTTCCCTAATAAACTTCACTCTTGATATCATAACTACGTCAACAATGAACATCAAATCCAGTGATCAGTGGAAATGGGTGCAGGAGCATAGTGGGTGATGTGTCTGACCAAGCAGCTATCTATTTGCTGCCATGGAGATTATCTATCCATATATTATATGTGGGGAAAGTTCCCCTTTATGAAGTGGGTAGAAGTCAGACTCAGCCACCCTCACGTTGCATTGGCTCCTTTCACACTGACATGTTTGGGGGGAAAATGAATTGAGTGTGCCATGGTTTGTCCAGGGAGTCCGAGGTCTTAGACCACAGAACACTGCACGGCTGCATTACGCTTCTCACGCACTTCAGGATGGAAGAGAACATACTGCCCATTAAAAAGCTAAAGTATTGAAGATACACAATGTGATAAAGTTTAAGAATTGCTGGCCAACTATTAAAAACAAGCTATTAACAATAATTAACTCAATGAGCCCTGCTTTCATTTCTTTTATTTTGCCAAATTATCATTTATTACACCCCTCCCTGTGGTAAATGTGAATTTATCTTTAAAAGGGAAACAGTACTTTTAAAGCTTTAACAAAAATAAATCTAAAGAACAGCCCAGTGCCGCTGAGTTGATTCTGACTCACAGGCATCTTACAGGACAGAGCATCACTGTTTTCTAAGCTTTCCAAGGCGGTGGTCTTTGGGGGAGAAGACTGCCATGTTTTTCTCCCACAAAACAGCTGGTCAGCTCGAGCTATTTAACCAAGAACCGTTTCATTTAAGCACTCCCGGGGTCCTCCTCAACAGAAGGAGTGCATAAACTCCAGAGTCCAAGGTAATAGTTGCTTCCATGCAGAAGAGAAATGGAAGCTCCTGGAGCTCCAGGGAAGGGAGCCAGCAGTCGTGGGGCACTCACCTGGGTCACAGAGGCATTTGTAGCTGGTGCCCAGGCCGCGGCAGGTGCCATGGGAGCAGGGGCTGAGGGCGCAGAAGTCCACGAGCTGGGCGCAGGTGGGCCCCGTGAACCCCAGGCTGCAGCTGCAGCTGAAGGTCACGCCGTCCACGCGGCAGGTCCCGTTGTTCTGGCATGGGGACGAGGCGCACGGGTCCACCTTCTCCTCGCAGGCGGGTCCGAAGTAGCCTGCAAGAAAGCACACGGAGGATCAACAAATGAGAAGACCCAAATCCAATGTCATGACTCGGTGACCTCATCAATGATCTGTGGCATAAGTGGTCATGAGACTGACCCAGGGTTAGGTCAGGGTTAGAGCTGTTGTTCCTAGGATGGCTATGATTTGGAGTTGACTGGACAATATCTCCTAACAACAATATTTTAAAAAAAGAAGTAGAAGAAAAAGGAAGTACATGGGGGTTAGAGAAGCACAGGAGTCACGGGCCTCAGCTCTCCTCCAGGGTGAAGGAATCAACCAAGTAAACCATCAAGATGATGACTTAGACTAGACTCCCAGCTCAACAGGAGTAGGGGAGGCGACTCGGCTTAGTCTGGTAACCGTGGTTTAAAACATGATTCTCTATGGCTGAATTCTGTTCACATGTGAACTATGTGACTTCTTAGGTATCGACGCATGCAAGGTCACAGATACATCCATGTGTGTACATGTGTAGTAGTGTGGCATCCATGGCTGGTGCAAACTGTTCAGCTGCCAACTGAAAGCTTAGAAGTGTGAGCCCCTCAGGGGGAATTCCTAGTGACACAATGCTTAAAGTACTTGACTCTTCATTGAAAAGCTGGCAGCTGGAACCTGCTCGTTACCTTGTAGGGTAAAGACATTTCATCTGCTTCCATAAAGACTTACAGCCTTGGAAACTCTAAGGGCAGTTCTATTGTGTCCCACAAGGTATAAATTGTAATGAACTTGATGGCAGCCCTGGTGGCATAGTGGTAAGACAGTGTTGCCAACAAGAAAGGTAAGTGGTTCAAATCCATCAGTTGTTTCACGGGAGAAAGATGGGCAATCTCCTCCTATGTCATTTCCTGCCTTTGAAAACCCACTGGAGGGTCAACTATGGGTTGTTTCCAACTTGACATAACAACGATAGAAGAAAGGTCTCAATTTCGGAAAAATCAGCCATTGGAAACTATGGGAGGCAATTCTACTCTAACACACAATGCCCTAAGTTGTAGACTCTCAGACTAGCTAAGACAGATGACAGAAAAGAGAGCAGAGCCCAGGGAAGTAAAGAAACAGGAGGCATGAAGTCCTGTCCCACAGGAACCAGGCTTATAACGCCCATGAAGGAAGCCAGCAGACATAAGGCAACAGGAAGCATGAGGTCTAGAACCAGAAAAGGCTCCATCAAAGGGGCCTCAATATTAAAGAATACAGACTTTGGAACCAACGAGAGCTGCACTCAAGTACCATTTCTGTCACCTAACTGTCGGAATCTGTGCCAGTACAATCACTCTGAGCTTCTGCTTCTGCATTCCTGCAACGGAGACACTAATGCCTACCTCATGTGAGCGTCATGAGGCTTAAACGAGAACATTCACACAATGCGCTTGGCACCATGACCGGCTAATAGCAAGTGTTCATTCAGTGGAGCTGCAGCTGTAATCACAATGGGATTCCCAGGCTGCCGTTCTGGGAACTACGTGCATGGTGTCACCACAAGCACAATGGACGCTACAAGAAGGACAGGTGTCTGGAGTTTGGAGTGAAGGATGAGTAATGCGTTCACTCTTCAGCATGCTTCATGGAGGCGCATCTGTGGTGGCTGCAGGGAACTCTGGCAGTGTGGTCCGTGGGGAGTTGTGCAAATTTAACAGGCTGTGTCCCTCTAGCGGTTCAAAGTCACCATCTGCTCTGCTGGAGGAGGACGGGCAGTCTCCACCTTCCTTCGTAACGTAGAGCCTGAGAACTGGAGGGCCCAAGGGGCGGCCAACTATGTATGAGCCAGTCCCCACTTTATGGCAATGACTTTTGGTTTTGTTCAATAGTCAGGTGGCTAAACAGATCTGGAATTCACAGACAGGAACAGCAGGGCACGAATTGGGATCATTCATATACAGGTAAGGGGGAGCTCACCACAAGAGATGTTCACACCTGGGGCAGGTAAACAGAGGGAGGGAAAATGTCCAGGTTGGAACTTTGTATAAAGGTGATATTTCAAAGCACAAGGAGTGGACCTAGGGGGAGAGACTGAAAAACAATAGAAGAATTTTTCTTTTACTTTTCCAAGAGGGTAGTGTACTAGGGGGGAGGGTTGGGAGGGGAGAAAAGTGCAACAATGAATGAATGGAAACCCAAAGTCTGTAAATTTTCATTTAAATAATAAATTTTT